AATAAGCCAGACACACACACACACACACACACACACACACACACACACACACACACAAATATTATATGATTCCGTTAAGCTAAAGTATTTAAAATAAACAAAGTCATAGAGGCAGAAAGTACATTAGAGATTACTAGGGAAAGGAGGAATGGAAGTCATTGCTTATTACGTTCAAAGTGTTTGAGGTAATGAAAAAATTTGGGTAATAGATGGTAATGATTTTTGTACACAATTGTGAATATAATTAATGCCACTGCATTGTACACTTAAAAATGATTGAAATGGAAATTTTATATTATATTATATATACAGGATATCCCAAAAACATGTATACACACTTTAACAGCTGATAGCAGACTAAGCTTTGAACAGGGAAGTTAATCCTAAAATGCTATTGGAAATTTGAAAAAGCGGTTAATATACAAACACTGCCTTTATATTTATCCAAAGTGTATATAATTTTGGGAGGAACACAGTGTGTCCCCAAAAATGTATACACAATTTAAAAGCTGATAACCCACTTAATCTTCACCCCTTTTTAGGTTTAACTGATTTGATACAATGGGTGAAGCCAGACTAAGCTTTGAACAAAGAAAGTTAATCTACTAGACTTTTATGATGGGGGTACATAAAAATAAAGTTTACGGTACAAAACCAGCAACAGTCAACGAACTGAGGACACACAAATACCGATTGAAATGATTCTTGGTATTTATAATTCAATTGCTTTGCGTTATCAGTAGCACCTGGACCAGAATAGCCATCAGTTTGAAAACAGGTATTGACCAAAAAATTATTCATCTCTGTAGATTCTTTTAAATTTTTAAAAGGAACTGTATGTTAACAAACAATGGCCCTATAATCATTTAAAGTGTGTACACATTTCTAGGGACATCCTATATTTTAGCACAGTAAAAATTTTAAACAGTGAATTCTTAGTAAAAACTCCAGTTTATAACAGAAAACCACAGTATTCCTTATATAAAGCAAGTTTTAGTAAGACATTTATCTTTACTACCATATGGTTTGACTATTCATTTCTAGCTACGTAACCAGAAATGGGACAAAAATAAGCATTCATTGGGTCAGAGATTTCGTCAGAATCAGAGAACCAAGAGATGTGTTAGTCAAGTCAGAGGTGAGATATTTTAGTGTTTTATGTTCAAAAGGGTCATTTTTCACTGAAAGTCACATTATCTACAAATGCACATAACTGTATACACACATATTCATATATCTACAAATACAGAGCCAGTGCCAACTGGCTTGGTTCTATTATAGTTGCAATTCCCCTGATGAGGAAGAACATTCTCAACAACATCCCTGAGGTATTTCCAACTCCTCTTTCCCTCCTTGGATCTCCTGAGGATGCGATGTCATCGTGGCCACAGGCAGATCTTCTTTACCTGGCTTACCTCTCCCTCTTCTCTTTCCCAAATTCCTTCTTTCTCATTGTAAATAACTCAAGTATGGTTTGGGAATTTAGGTACCCTTGGGAGTTAATACTTTTCGCACGTTATTTCACTTTCCTTACTGAATTTTTTTCTCTCTGAATATTCCACTGGATTTAAGTACACCACTGGAAGGGAAATAAGGTCTCTGGGGTATAGACAGACATTACCAGCATTAGAAACATTGATAAAAATTCATTGTTTCCAGAATTTTCCCCTTTAGTCTAAATAACTAGGGTTTGAGATGATCTTTCAATGGAAAGTAGAAAATAGCTTTCTATCAAATTGAACATGCAAATTATATCAATATATTAATTATTAAAGAACAATTATACCATCTTTTCAAAAGGCAACAGGCAGTTGCATACATCATTGCATTTCTCACCCCAAATTTCCTTTTAAGTTGTTTGAAGATAACTATTATTACAGTAATTTTTCAAATAAAGAACCTGAACCCAGAGAGGCTTTGCTTAAATCTGAGTGGACTCAGCACTGAATCCCTACATCCTCCCAATACTCATAACCTTGCACTTCTTTATAATTAGAACAAATTGTGGAAAGAAACAGATTGGAATGAACATTAGACATTAAATATTATTGGCTTATTGAACTACTAATGCTCCCATCACATAAAAAGCTCATATTAAAACTAAGTTCGGTCCAACAACTTTCTGTTGTGCCTACCTTGGCAGCATAATAACTAGTAAATTGGTTGATTTGTTCATTTTCAAAATGGAATTCACATTTTTTGTTCTTTAAAAAAGTCTTTTGTCATCAAATCTGAAACAGATGCCAAAGTCTTTGTCTTTGTTAAAAACAGTAAATTGGAAAATGATGTTACTATTTAAAATTTATTTGGGATGGAGGGTGGGGTTGATAGTGGTAGGTGGGATAGACAATGGTATGTGAGATGACCATTAAGAGGTCATAGGCTAAGGCCCATGTGAAATCAAAAACCTTTTTCACTTGAGATCTTGTGTTTCTAAATCCACATGCAAAGAGGGACTATGGTACCACAGTCCCATGATATGTTATGGTAAGATATACAGTCACTATGAAGCTTCCCTCATCCCACAGATAAAAAGCTTGAAGTCCAGAAGGCTAGTCCATTGCCAGAAGACTGGTTTAATGGGGCACGACTTTACAGCAGCTGTGTGTCGCTGCAGGTTGCCTAGGACCAAACCAGAGAGGGTCGGACCTGCATTGCCACCATGTGCTCACCATCCAGATATCATTGCTGACATGTACACATAAGGGACTGTTTGCCATTAAAACGGGCACTCAGAACTGTTGGACATTGAAATTGGGACTCAAACATTTTTTGTAATTATATGTTTATTTCTAGTCTGCAGAGGCAAGATTTTTTTAAAGTAAATAAATGGGGCGGGGGGGAATAGATACAGAGGCAAAGAAGCATTGAACAGACTGTCAAACTACAGCTGGAAGGCAGGGGAGGTTGGTGGGGTGGTAGGAGGCTGTAAGAGATCAACCGAAAGACTTGTACGCATGCATATAAGCATAACCAATGGATACAAGACATTGGGGGTGGGGCAGGTGAGGGTATGTACTGGGGAGTAGGGAGGCCAGGGGAGGTCCGGGGGGGGGGGGGGGAGGAGACATATGTACTACTATTTGTATATAAATAAATAAATAAATACCAAGAAAAATAAAATAAAATGGCACAACTTTAGGATCTAGAACACTAAGCACCTTTTCACAATGGATCCTGTTAAATGAAAAACCATTTTCCAGCTTGAGCTCCTGGATTTAAGTATGCAAATTTGAGTAGAGTTTTTGGTAGAGCTGGATTGCTGCACCTACGAAAGCATTCTCCCTGGAGGTGTGGCCCCGGACAGCAATGGAGTGGAAGGGGAAAGAAGTGGCCTGAGAGACAGAGTCTGCCTGCCATGAGCTTCACCACCACCCAGCGAACCTGAAAATGATGGCTGTTATTGGGACTGTGAGTGGGACCTGGAGAAAAGATGTAGTTTCAAGTCCAGATTAATTTCAGAAACAGGTGCATATGCTGCGTTGATTCCTGGGTCAGTGCTCTCTCACATTACAATGTGGTTTTGTAGAATTACAAAGGACTTCCTAGTGGCCAGGGATTTCTACCTTGAAGGGCAGCACTGAGCCCAGAGCCCAGAGCTAGGAGCTGTCTAAACAGGAAAATCAATTCTGGAATCCATTGGCCCCTGCTTCAGCACTAATGCTGAACTTCTCAGTCTGGTTTATTCAATTACTTTTACTACCGTCCAATCAGTAAACCACTATTAGAATTATTCAAATGCAGATCAGATCTGCCTCTAAATCTAGGAAGTGAGTATAAATTTCAGCCAAAATGTTCAAAGAAGCCAGTAACATTAAAATACTAAGAACACTGAACATCTAGTCCTCCTGAGCCTCTGAATCAAACCTCTTTGATCTTAGGACAGCATTCACTTGCCTGTGATGGTTATTACTCAAAGGGCTGGCTGCATCCCAGAGTTCCATCCTCAGAAACCTCTTGGGGCCTAATGCTTTTACCTGTCACTGTCTTAAAATTCTTAATAATTTTAGCTTTGAATTTGTGTTTTATGAGGGAAGTCCACAGGGACAACTGGGGAAGAAGTAGGATCAGAGCCTCGGGGCACATGTGGTCCTGCCTCCTGGAGATAGCCTCTATGCTATCCTGCCTGCTTCCCTGCCCCTGCTTAGTGACCTCTGCCATCTACCCTGGGTCAGGACACAACTCTGGAAGAACAGGGGTAAAGTCCACACCCTGTGCACTGAGCCAGGGCCTAGGCCCTGTGCCTGGGAGTCTGTATTCACCCCACACATACCTTCATGCCTGAAGGAGCTAGACATTAATTAGCGTGTATATATATATTTTTTTCAAACAAACTAAAATACCATTAATAGTCAAGAAAAATTTTACCCTGATTTTTAAACAGAGAGCCCAAATTTTCATTCTGTACTAGGCCTTCTAGATGATAAAGCTGGCCCTGATTAGATACCTTATCTAGACATTACCAGCCCATATTACTTTTAGATTCTTAACTAAATAACCACAATACATGTGAAATAATGTATCTGATTTTACTAAAAGTATTATTTAATATCAATAAATCTTAATATTAAACACTAAATCAGATATTTTTAATAGTTCAACAGAAGGGAAACAAGCTCTCCATTATTTCTGCCAGCAGGTGTCATTAACAATAGAAAGTCTGGACCTGTTGCTGTGACCTGACAGTTTGATGTATGAAATGGAAAAGTGATGGAATTTTTTTTTTTCACTGAGGCAGCCAGGAAAAAAAATTACTTATTTCTCCACAGTAAAAATATTATTTCTTCATATTTTCTATCACATTGGGAAAGCTTTAAAAAATCTCATTACTTCTCTCCTCGGTTGGTGTTTGCTCATAAGCAACTAGAGTGTTTTCCAGGACCTACAGGGCCCCGTGTTAAAGCAGACAGTGATGGCAGAGGGATCCAGAGGACGTATAAGATGTGGGTTTTTATTTCTGTGCACAGTGTATCTATGTCACAGCTTAGGGTCTTTCTTACCTTGAGCTTGGCCAAAAGAAGTTCATGATCATGAAGGAGTTTTTTGGTTTCATCTTGACTGCTACCAATTTCTAAAATATTGGGCTGTGACTCAGCAAGCTGAAGTTGTACCCATTTGCCACACTAAAAATAAAAATAAAATGAAAAGCACTTTTAGTTCCTCTTGTTCTTTCCTCTTCACCCTTCTCCTTTTTCAGTTACGTTTCCAGTTATTCTATGAACACTTTATTATTTCCATAGATATGGGCCTTAATAAATTGAAATAAAGCAGGTCTAATATAAATCCATGCCTTACCTTTTCTTTTTTTAATTCTTAAGATAAATGATTTTCTCTTGGCACGCTGTATTTAAATTTAACATTTCCAAATGAGAAACACATACAATAGATTGTATATTATTGAATATTACAAAATTACAAAATAATGTACATTCTCTCACTTTCAAAAGTGCTTTCCATAGAAACAGTGATATTCCACTCGGGCAAGTAGAATGCAAACTTCACCAGAAGGAGCTTTTGTAAATGCAATTTTGGCTGATCAGTGTTACACTGACCTTACTGGTTTAACCAGAAAGATAAGCAGTGGATGAAACAACTTATTTGCATCTTATTTCAAAGTTAAAGCATAATCTTTTCCAACTTTTGGTGTTGGGTAGTCAATAAAGTATGTAAAAAAATGTCTATCAACTCAGACACATGTGACAACTGCCATTTGAAAGCAGCCGACTTGTTTTCCACACTCAGGACACTCACTGCTCTAAGCACAACTGCTCATTGCAGTTCCTGAGGAACTGTTTCTCTAAGGAGCAACAACTGATTAAGCAACAGGTACCATGAGCAGGCATATGCTCGTGGCTAGGTGAACTGCTGAAGAGAAATGAGAAAAACGTATGTCTATTCTAGATAATTAGTACCAGATAGAAACAAGAGGCCCATATACAGTGAGTGCCCAGAATATTATGATCTCTGAACACACAATAATCTGGCCACTCAGTGTATATATGTGTATATTAGAGGCCCGGTGCATGAATTTGTGCATGGGTGGGGTCCAGCCAGCCTGGCCAGGGGGAGGGGGCATGGGCGGTTGGCCAACCTGCTTGCTGGTCAAACTCCTGGTCAAGGGGACAATTTGAGTATGAGCCTTTTATTATATAGGATACACGCTGAGTAGCCAGATTATTATGCGTTCAGAGATTATAATAATCTGGCCACTCAGTGTAGATCAGATGCATGCACTTCTTTCATTTAAAATGGACTTTGCATTTGAATAAGTTAGGGTTTGTTTTATATGGGATGGCAGTGAGCTTAAGGAGCTGAGGAGAGGAGACAAACGAATGTTCTTAGAAACCCAGTTTGGTTAAATTAAGAATTTTCAGCTTGATTTTAGAGACTTTTTTTTCCTTACTGTGAATCTATGTCTGATTCTCCTATAATTTATTCTATGTGCATTATTCCTTATCCTGCTCTAAGATATAGTTCATATTTGAGGAAATGTTAACTTTCTTTTAAATGGTGAGTTTGCCTCTTTTCCTTCATTGCTGAAATTTGCAGATACTCAAAGCATCACAAAATCACATGCAAATGATCAATTTATGCTTCAGGCTTTTTCCCACATCCACACATTGCCTTTGAAGAGACAAGAGGGTGAGGGAAGCGGCAGAGGCCCTGTTTGTGTGGGGCCAGGTCTCCGCAGCCCAGGACACAGCTCAGCCAGGACACGTGGCCTTCGGTGCCCCATCGCCTATCCTTCTGCTCAATGTCAAGTGCTGCTTTCCTGCTATCCCTTCCACATGAACATAAAACTCACAGAACTCAGTGAAATTAACCGGCCTTGCCATGCATCCATGCACTAACAAGAGGCCAGAAAGTCACTTGATGAAGCTTGACAGGATCTGAAAGTAACTGGCTGGTAAGCGCCAGCTTGTCTGCCCGACTCCCTTCATTAAACACTGAATTCCTTGGGTGGTGAACTGTCTAGATCCAAGCATTACGCTTCACAGGTTCTGCAGGGCCATTTTCATAGGAAAGAAGATCACAGTCATCGTCTTCAACCTACAGATGTGCTGTCATCTTTGCAAATGGACAAATGGCTTGGCATAAAACATAAGCCCCCAGTGGCTTCAACTTCCTGCTGTCAAGATCCAATCTGACACATGCCCCCTGCACCTTCCCTGGCAGGGTCTCCACTCCCTCAGCAGTGTGACAAGGATTTACCCGTGCCTTTCCCGTGTCACCATCAGAGCTAAGGAGGGCACGAGCCAGAGCCCCTTGTTAGGAGTCCTCTGGGTCCCATCCTGCCCGACACAGGGCCACCCCCCATCTCAAAAATCACCCGCCTTTCATAGGCCCACTTGCCTCTTCAGCCTGGCTAACATGAATTTGTAATCACCCACGCCTTGCCTTAAAAAAAAAAAAAAAAAAACAGACTGAAAATAGACGGTTTGTTTTGTTTTGCACCAAGCTGCTGTCCATGCTTCCTCACTCACTGAAAGAGAAACTGTGGTCCCTGGCTGAAGCTTCACAGAGGTTTCTCCTCGCTGCCGCTTTAAGAAAGCAGCAAGATGTGCTTGCTGGGTTATCTCCTCTGTGCCCGGCACTGCTGATTGTGTGGAATGTTCTTCGGGATTATCAGCACACAGCCAGGCGCCCACAGCCACGCGGGGAAAAGAAAGTTGTCAGTTTACCTTTATGACGGCGATAACGATTTTAGAGTCCCCAGCCTGCACGGCCACTGAGCTGACGGTGGTGGTTGAAAACTCCACTCCAGGGCTCCCCGGGCTGGACATGGTCCTCTCGGTGCCGCTCACACTCCGGGCTGCCTCTGGACAGATGTGCGTCTGCTGGTCATTTCAAAAGGCAACCACCGGGGTTGCTTGGATTCATTCAGGGGAAGAGCTCAGCTCCCACTGATTGCTCTGCCAGAAGCAGAGAACAGGAGGTTAAAAATAGACAACCCCATTGAGTTTATCATGAGAGAGAGAGGAGAGAAAGAGAGAGAGAGGAGAAGGGGAGAGAATCGCCACACCCCTAGTATGGTAACACTAAGCGCCTGTTATTTTTGCCATTATCTTAAATGCAGAGGGCAGTTTCTGCTCCCTTCCTATCAGCTGATGTTTGATAGCAAATGGAAAAAAAAAAAAAAAAAAAAAAAAAGTTACATCCTGACAATCCAAGTTAGTTTTGCCATTGAATCTGTCTAGCTCTAGTGGACTTTGAAACCAGCTAGTCATCGACTGCAATATCAAACTTTTTAAGACTTTTGAAGACTCTTTTAGACAAAAAAAAAAAAAAAAAAAAAAAAAAAAGCTTCTAAAATGAACTTTAAAAATAAGTTCTGGTATTTGTTTTGGGATTAAGCAAGCCATAAAACTGCTTGAAATATATCTTTTTAGATTAATCTACTTTTCTAAAACTTACTGCTTTTGGTCAAATAAAGTTTATATGGGATAGTTACATTTTCTCATAGCTTCTGATGTGTTAGGAGCATTTAAAAAATATTTCAACAAGCATTTATCAGTAGATACCTACCATCTCAGGATTTATTTGTGACTACTGTACTCCACTGAACAGCACTTTTAAACTCAGTTATCACAAATACTAAGAAGTAATACACTTGGCTGTTACTTTTTAATTGCAGCAAGAATGTTTTTGTTTAATTAAAGCTTAACACTATGTGTATTTTTCTACAATAAAATAAAAAATAACATTCTACTGCAGGTTTTATTTTTATTCTCCCTCCACTGCCTGAGCAGGAGAATTATAGACAGCTACGAATCAGAGCCCAAGACTGGCAGATTAATCCTATTGCTAGAAACTCAGTGTGTGCCACAAGTTGCCGGTGGTATTAAACAGCAGCTGTTGGACCCCTCGTCAAAGAACAGCTGAAAATAACACTGACGTGTGGGTTAGAGGTCAGTTACACACATATCAGAGATACTGATTCCACCGGAGCCATCGGAAATCTCTGGGACAGAGCCAGAACGGAGGAGAGAGCTATAAACAGAGTTAAAGGAGTCCACTCTCCTTTTAAACCCTTAACTCCGTTTGAAAGCACATTCAGGTTCAGGGCCAATGCTCAGAAGACTGAGTCAGCACCATGGCTTTGTTCTGCTAAGGTTCACGATAATATTATGGAGCTAAGAGGGGAAAGTGTTCTTAAGTAGTATGTTTCGGTGTTCAGCAATCGTTTTTTATTTCCCAGAGTATGTCAAGGCTGTCCCAGTTATATAGCCATGACCCAGAGCCCTGCTCTCAAATCAGGTCTTGGACTCTCTGAATGCTCCCTGATGCCACGAAGGGAGCATTTGGAGCAAGCTGAGACCCTATGCCAAGACGCCACAGTGTAGAAAAGATTGTCAATGGTATTGTTTTATGGGAGGGATGGCGGACCTGCAGGGAAACAGCCTGACCTCTCTGTGGAGGCTGCCTCCACTCTGCAGGCAAGCACCTTCTGCTTGAGCAAATCGTTGGTCCAAACAAACCAAAGCAAACTGAATGAAACTACTTTTCAGCGAATCGCCCTCAAGAGAAAAACCAGGAGCTGACGGACCGTGCCACACCCTAACCTAAAATGCCCCAAGCGGCATTGCTTAAGGCACTGTGTACATTGCCAATCAGAAGAGCAAACAGTGACCCACACCCAAAATACACGGTGTTCCTTTCACCCAAAGTTAATCCTATTGTTAGAAACTCAGTGTGTATGGTAAGCTGCAGAAAGGCCCTCAGGAGGCAAAGGGAATGTTGGCAGAGAGCTGCAAAGAGCTTGGCTAGGAAAAGAGTGGTTCTGTCCACAGAGCCCCACTTAAGGTGGATGATTGTGTCAAAGGCGTGGAGGGCAGCGTGGAATGTGTGGACTTGCAGGAGTGTTTTTTTAAATCCTCATCCTAGGACATGTTCTCTGATTTTTAAGAGAGCGGAGAAGAGAGAGCAACCAAGACCATACGGGGAATTGAACCTGCAAACATTGGGTGTACAGAACAACACTCCAACCAGCTGAGCCACATAGGCCAGGGCTGAAATCACTTTTTTTCTCTTCCCTTGTTTTCTATTTTTATCCTCTTCAGCGTTTTAGTCCCCTCTGCCCTCCTTCCTGGAGTTCTGTTGAGCAGACCTCTCCATCCACATTAACTCATGTAGAACCTTGGTCTATGTTCTTCATCTGGCATAATACTGAACTATAAATTACATTATTAACTCCGGTAACCAAATTGGAGAATAGTTAGTATAAAATATATTGTTCTAAAGAAATCAGTATACAATAGATGTTTCTTTAAAGCTTTTTAAGTTAGTTTGTTTATACTCTGCCTCCTCCCCCATCATCATTAAAAAAAAAAAAAAAAAAAAAAAAAAAAAAAAAAAAAACCTCCAGAAAACAAAACAAAACAGAAAACCTTATAGGCGGTCTCAGATCCTTTGAAGTTTATAGAGGATCTTGCAGAGGATATTATGCCTTCTCTGATTATCCCTCTGGGAAATGCCTGCTTTTATACCCACTGAATGTTAGTGAAATATTCTCCATGGGGAATCAAAAAGCTATAAATGGATTCTGTTGAGTTGCAAATAGCACTTTTTGCCTCATTTTTTTGTTGTGGCAAAATACACAAAACAAAAAATTTACCATCTTAACTATTTTTAAGTGTATGGCTCAGCGATGTTAAAAACACTCTTGACATTGTGCAATCATCACCAACATCCATCTCCATAAATCTTAATCTTGTAAAACTGAAACTTTGTACTATGAAACAGTAATTCTCCATGGCTCCCTCTCCCAAATTCCTGTCAACCACCATTCGACTTTCTGTCTCTATGATTTTGACTACTCTTAAGTATTTCATGTAAGTGGAATCACACAGTAGGTGTCTTTTTTTGCAGCTGGCTTTTTTCACTCACTATAATGTCTTCATGGTTCATCCATGTTGTAACATATGTCCAAATTTCTTTCCTTCTCAAGGCTTAATAACATCCCATTGTATGTATATACTGCTTTTTAATCCTTGCAGACCGCCTTACAGGGTAATTGTAGAGGTTAAAAGAGTTTCTTCTTTTACACAAAGTGCTTAGAGAAGGATCCCTCGTTTAGCAAGGGCTATATTTGGAGTATGGTACTAGGCTCAGAATTTGTGCTTATAACTATTGGGTGGCTAATTGAATCATATTAGTCATACAGAAAAAAATACAGTTTTAGTACAACTCATCCATTCAGTATTTATGTATGCAACTAGTAGTTATTGAACATTTGCTACATACTGGGCACTTACAGTATATAGTACAGCAGTGTATTAGTATTACAGTATGCAGTACAGCAGTATATTAGTACAGCAGTGAGTAAAACAGGTCCCTACCCTTGAAAGGTGACGACAATTCCAGTGAGAAAAGACACACCACAAACAAAGACATAAATAACCAAGATAAAAGTCCACTGTAATAACAGCTAAGGGAAAAACAACTCATGGCGGTTTAAGGAGATGGAATCACAAAAGGTTACATTCAGAATTTGCCAGAGAAATCAGGGGGTGCTTTCAGGATATCTATTGGAATACAGAGGCTAACACACATAATAAAATAAGGATGATTATAAAACAATAACAACAAATAAATTACACAATATGGCAAAGGCAATGGGTTAGGGGCTCTGAAGTTAGACTGACTTAACCACTTTGTGCCTCAGTTTCTTTTGCAAATTGTGGATAATGGGAACACCAACATCACATAAGGTTTTTGTGAGGTTTAAGCAAGATAGTATTTGTAAAACACTTAAAATAATGCCTGGCATTCAAGTGATGTTCTGATAGTTAAATATTATTATTTATGAGATAATAAATCTATTACAGGTTTTCCTAAAACTAATACTATCAAAAAATTTGAAATACAATTTTAAAGTTAAGTTGACCTAAAACATGGTGGGCTACTTAAGTGGATTAAATATATTAGAAAGACATAAAATATGCATTACCTGAGAGGAGATAATCTCACAATAATCAGACGGTAAAAACATCTCTGGAAGTCATCATTTTCTTCTAGAGTACCATCTTTACCATCAGTTTAGCCAAAATGTTCCCTAACTCATTCTTTATATCTTGTAACATTCCTCCTGGCACCTCTCTGATCTTAGTAAAGACATTCATTTGCCTGTGAGGGTCATGGCCCTTGTGGAATACAAGCATTCTCAGTTGTCATCTGTCAGTAAACTGAAGCTGCTCTTTCCCCTTAAAACAGCCCATTCTAGCCAACAACTTATTTCCATTGCAGGAATTCATTTGTTCATTCATCAAGTATGATAAAATACCTACTAAGTGTCAGACGCTGTCCTAGATGCCAGGCACATATCAATAAACAAAACAAAGTTTATCCACTGATAGAGCTTGTTTTATGGTGGCAGAAACATAACTAATTAGAAAACAACAACAACAACATTTTGTTGTTGTTTTCTAATTAGTTATGTCAGGATGCAATAAGTGTTATAAAGAAAAACAATGCGGGGCAAGAGAGTAAGTAAACAAGGGAAGAAGAATACTATTTTAGGAAGGAGTCAGGAAAGGTCTTCAGAATAGATGAGATTTGAGTAAAGACCAGGATTAAGTTGAAAAGAGCAAGATATAGCGATATCTCAGGGAAAACATTCCAAGTGGCTGGGGCCTGCTGTTATATTTTAAAAGTATTCAGGAGGTCGATGTGGCTGGAGCTAAGTGAGGACTGAGAGAAGAGAGGACACCGATAGAACATGAGTCTGAGGTGACCCAGGCTAGGGCCTTCTAGGGGCCTCTCCGTCCTGAATTGCTTGGGATAA